AATAATGTCAAACTTTACATAATTGCAATCCTTTGCAGAGACAAAAAAAAAGACCGCATTATAATAACATTGCTCACACGTGACCTCAATTATTGTAGAAAGAAAAAAAACATACACATGTGCAAGATTTAGAAGTGAAAGACATCAAAAAAATGTTTTTCAAGAATTATCTTTCTCGAGTTCAAAACAACTCTGTATGGCTTTAAGAGACATGTTCTCTAATTGTAACCCTTCGCAAATTAATCAGTTTAATACTCTCGGTAAGTTATTTCCGAGTATGTGTTTTCCATATGTTGTTCACACTGTTGGCATTTTCCAGTATTCCCTTTTATGTGTTGCATATACAGGGGTGTTTTCTTGTAACCTGGAAAGGCACCTAAGGAAATAAGATCTGGTTTTTAACTCTTGTTTATATGCCTTACACAAACGGTAATCATATAGTGTTGTGGCTGGAAGTATCTTATATTTTAAGAAATACTCGCTTGTGTGGAAACGACTTGAAACATTTTAAATTGTGCGCAAGAACTTTTTTGTAGGACGTGTATCCTATGCAGATTTCCTTGAGTAGTGGGGCTTTAAGCTAAATGACAGTAATTAGGTCTGGAAACTGAAATGGATTAAAAAATTGTAAGCTTATGAATTGGATTCCAAACAATAGATGCATATTCTAGGGCTGAACAGATTAGTGTTTTGTACGTGAGCAGTTTGGATTCTTGAGGAGCTGCTCGAAGGGTGTGCTGGAGATAGCCCAGCTTTTTTACTGATTTATTACATGTGATAGTGTTTGAATATGTTTTCTCCCGAATAGATTGTCAGTAAATAGAAGCCCTAGATACTGGTACTCTGGTACTTTGAGTAAGGAACAATTCTTAAAAAAAGAACCTGATAACCTAGGGAGCTAAATGCCAAGTGAATGTCATTAATACAGTTTTTGTTAAGTTTATACTCATTTACAAGGCATTACACCATGAGGGAAAGTGGGAGAACGCATCATCAAGAATTGTGTGGTCATCAGTAAAGTTAATAGTGTGGTAAAGAACGCAGTCATCGGCATATAGACGCATGTTGGTTGCTATGTATTGTGGCAAGCCATCAATCTAAAGCTGAAAGAGAAGAGGGCCAAGGACTGTACCCTGCGGCACGCCTAAGGATACATTAGTAACAGGGGAGTCAGAAGCATTGTAGTGTACGTATTGGGAACGATCTGATAGAAAACTAGCTATCCAGTCTACTATTTCAGGATTATTTAGAATGAGGTTTAGCTTAAAGAGTAGTTTATGATGCACAACAGTGTCGAAAGCTTTGGACAGATCTATAAAGAGTGCATCAACTTGTGTACCAAAATCTAGTGCTTTAACAATGTCATAAGTGAATTCCACAAGTTGAGTTACGGTGCTAACACCACGACGAAAGCCATGCTGGCAATCACTTAGCATACTATTGGTTTTCAAATAATCCTTAATATGTTTGTAAATTATGTGCTCGCGTAGTTTACACAAGTGAAAAGTCAGAGAAATCAGCTAGTAGTTCGTTAACCCAATTTGTTCTCCAATTTGTGCAACAGTAGAACTTTAGCACGTAGCCACAATGAAGGAACACATGCAATTTCTAAAGATTTGTCAAAAATGGTTGTAAGGTAACAACTGGTCCAAAGGGAGTAACGAACAAGGAAAGCATTGCAAATATTGTCAGGACCACAATACTTCTTACTATCCAGTTTTAACACTAAATTAAGAACACCGCCAAGAGATACACAGAGGTCACTAAATGCTGTTGTTGATCTACAGTAATATAATGGAAATTCGGAAACCGCATGAGGGCCAAGAGAGGCAACAAGTGCCTGTAACCGTATCAGCGTTTACAGATCACCGACCAGCCCAAATAATCCTCGCAATTATACACAATTGAAAACTGCACTACATGGAAATCAGTGCTACATGTTAAGCCTAGTTTGGAGCCCAGAGAGTGCTGTCAAATTGCCAAGGAAGGAATTTCGCATGATGACAGAGGTAGGCACGACGTGTTGTTTATTCAGATCTGGTGATGAAAGGCCATAACTGAATGCAGGAACAGCGCAACCTAGAAATAGTTACTTCGTAACTATGGAAGCGAGAAAAAAACAAGGACAGAAAAGAGCGCTGCCCTTACAGCACTCTTTTCTGTCCTTGTTTTTTTTTTTTTTTTTTTTCGCTTCCCTAGTTACGAAGTAGCTACTTCTAAGTTGCGCTGTTCCTGCATTCAGTTATGTCCTACAAACTTGCCCAAGTTTCCACGATGAAAGGCCAGTTTGATGAGGGCAAGCTCTTGAATGTCGCAGGCTGCCTTAATTAAGGTGCACAAAATAAGCTTGCTTCAATTTGACAAGTTTCCACCAGCATTTTGTATTCCTTATTAAGGAAACCCCAAGCAGATTGAGAATGTGCCTTGTTTTTAAGGTCCTCTGGCTTTAGGTTTCATTAATCAGCTTGCTGCAACACTGAAATATTGTATGGCATGTTACAGAAATGACCTTTGAGTTAAGCAGCAACTTGGAGTCTGTCAACACTGAGTTTGGCATGATTCTTAAGGCTCCTTTTAGTAAGGGATCCTTTTTTTTTGTACGTGAAAAGAAGCGTAGGAACGTATTTGTTAAATGTATCGCATGTGTTGTCTGCAGGATTCTACTTACGTCAAGTTTTTCATCAGACAAATATAGATGTATAGATAGGGAGATGTAAAAAAGGTTGCCCAAGCATAATAACTAAGTGTTGCTTCTGACCGTTTTCTTGGCCTTCATTGCCATATATGTATGTGCAAGCCTAGATTTAAAGAAACAGCCGCCATGAGGTAGAAGTAGGTGCAAAATGACGCCATTGATAATGGAGGCCAGCAGAATTTCAACGTTTGGTGATGTTTGCGTGAGCAGTCCTTCAGTTGTGTTGCCAAAACAAAGAACTTGGTTACATGTGTTTGTGATGAACTGGTTTTGGTTAAGCACTAAAGGGAAAAAAATGTGCTTGATACGGTGTTGCCATGATTGCAATGTATGCATGTAGGATACAATTTATAGTTGTGAGAGCTATGCACACATTATGTATTACACTGTGGGAGTACATAAAGTAGCATGATCAGCGAGTAATAAAATAATTATTGAGAGCTATCACTGTGTTGTGTTGAACATGTCTTCTTTTGTTTGAGTCCTTAGCCTGTGCAACAGTCAATTATTTCCGTTTTATGCCATGCTTCCTGTAATTTATTTACATGCCAATTGGAAGAAAAGTTCATTATGTAAATGCAATCAAAATAGACCAAAGATGTTTTCTTTTCCTGGGGCTTTCCAATGTAGCGGTAATGAGCTCGAAACTTGACTACACACTATTTTTCTGGGCACTAGAAAAAAAAACAGATGTTGAATCATCCTGGAGAACTACAACCTCCAGGAATTTGGAACTTTAGCTGACGATGTACACCTAGTCAGCCATCAGGTTGTACTGTGTAAGACTATGACAAGGTCTAGAATGCTGGTAAACTATTTGGCTGACAAGTGGGAGCAGCATTTTCGGTAAATTGGCAATTCATAACTTCATCCCAACTGTGGAACAAAACGACAATGACAAAAGGGAAGACCTCTTTTTTTTTCTCCATGTTTTTTTTTCTGCAAGGTCACACTGAAGTGACAAGTGACAAGTACCTGGAAGAGATGTACCGGCCAAAACCATGCAACACACAAAAGTCAGCGTCAGATGGTAGCACCTTCTTATGTGATTGGAATTATGCGCATTAAAGTAAGCTGAACCCCTTCGGACGAGACAGCAGCTGGGAGTAGTTCTTGTGTCCCTCACACACTTCTAGGTCGTCACTTTTATAAGAGACGGCCTATAAAGGGATCAACTGTATACTATCAAGGCACAAAGCAAACAAGCAAAAAACAAAAAAGTGACCAGCAACGAGTGAATCCGTTTTCCTCTCCTCTGATGCGCGCACTGTCCTGGCAAGGAAGCACCAAGAAGCCAAGTTGTCATCATGAACGTTGTTGAATTTCATTTTTATGCTGTAAGAGCTATTGATACAGCAGAAGGATACTACTCTCAACTACTTGCGCAAAAATTTCATGGACAAAGGACAAAACATAAACGGTCTGGTGCACCAAGCATGTTTCGTCCTTATTCCATCAAACTTTTGTGCAAGAAGAGCATAGAACGAACCCAAACCCACACCTTGTTAAGTTATTCTGGGACCCGGGAAAAACTTCTCACTTTTTTTTTTTTCATCGTCATTGTATCCTGATGAAAACCTGTTTCCTGTGAATTCTTGACTTTGGCATATGTTTCAAGTATATTTTGCATTTCAATTTACTGACATACGTATCATACAGAAGCCAACAATACAGGTCGATATGATGAGAAATAAATATTCGAAAATTCGGCAAAGAGCTAGTTGGTGAAAACAACAAGAAAAAAAAATGAACAAGCGCAAACTTTCAAATGAGCTAGTATAGAAGCAAGACTGCTCGTTTCACAATAAGTGTCAGTTAAAAGTGAGTGTCCCCCCTCCCCCCATTTTTGTTTGTGTTCCCGCGAGGTCTGTTAACACGTTTCTCAATTAGATTTCCCCAGTGCATGGATGCATGCAGGCTATTGCAACAGCTAAATTTCGAGATAAACAGTTGCAATGAATAAAAATGGAGGGTGCCAACACAAATAAGGAAGCCGTGGTTCCTAAAGAATTTGCGGAATGCCTGGTCTTATGATAAACAGTGGCTGGATAAGGTTAACGCGACTAGACAATCGTGTCAGCACGGCACCAACGATGGTGTATCATTTTACGATTATTTGCATGTGCAGGTAAGCTAGTTCATTCAAAAAGTGACAGCACCTGTATAACGTCACTCCAAAATATACGGGCTCCACAATATACAAAGAAACTGGCACGTAATATAAACAAACAATCTGGCAAAATCAGGCAGCATTTTCGAATATCAGCAAACCATTGCAAAGTGTACGCGGTTAAAGCTAACTCACGATGTATCGCCCATAAATGGTGCTTTCGCCGGCATGACGTCCTTGCAATGTGGGTAAGCATGCCCTCCGAATCCAGAAGGACACCGCCAAACATTTAGAAATCTTGCTCGTGCACGACCAGTTCAACACACACTGTCAATCAGTAAACAAGCTGGAAAAATATTAGCACAACGCGTATAGAAAAAAAAAAGTACGAAATATAGTCCGAATATAGTAACCCGGCGATGCATAAACCGCGTTCACCTATAGACCATGCTTATCGCTTAGTGACTCCGTTCAACGCCTTCTCTATTTTGAGATGCCCGTCAGGTGGGGTGCCGCTGGCCCCGCTAAGTGGCGTGAACCACCACCCAACTTAACGCGCACAGTCAGACACATCCATCCATAAGAGGTTCTATTTGGCGTTGCATAAGTGGTTGCCAGACTGGAAGAATGGTTGTTGCCAGACTGCCGCTAATTATAGCAGAAAATGTTTTTTTTTGTAGTTGTGGCTTCTCCGCAAGAGTTTGGTGCTATCCGCGGTGCACTTCTTCGGTGCGGAGCCTAGCAGAAGTCGAGCGCGGTGCTGCTGTGCAATTAAGAGGCCGTTTCAATTCCGTTTTAATTAACGGAAGGAACCGAGCCTAGCAGAAGTCGAGCGCGGTGCTGCCGTGCAATTAAGAGGCCGTTTCAATTCCGTTTTATTCAACAGAAGGAACCGAGCCTAGCAGAAGTCGAACGCGGCGCTGCTGCGCAATTAAGAGGCCGTTTTAATTAACGGAATAAACCTCCCATTACAGAAGTCGAGGCGCGTTCTCTTGCTGTGTGCGCAGCTGTGCGATTAAGATATCGCGTCTCAGTATTAGGGATTACGGGGAAAACTGATTAGAGTCGCAGGAGGGGATGCGCTGCCCCCCTTACTTTTCTTTTTTTTTCTCTCTCTCAGCTGATCGTGTCGCGTCGACCGCGCGCTACGACGGGGGACGCTACGCTTCCGCGGATAGCACCAAACTCTTACGAAAAAGCCACAACTACAAAAAAAAACTTTTCTGCCAAATTTAGCGGCAATCTGGCAACAACCACCCCAAAGTCTGGCAACAGACTTATGCAACGCCAAATGGAACCTTGCCCTTTTTTGTCCTTAAAGTTTCTTAATATACACAGTACACTAGAAGGTTAAATAAAGAAAAAAAACACAGTACACTAGAAGGAAATCTGGCGCTAGTGTCTAAGGGAGCCAACGTTTTTTGAATTAGGTAAGATGCAAAACTCCCCGAGTCAGACGACCCTTCACACGGCGCCAAGACAACTTCTGGTTTGGTGGCGCTGGCAGCGCATCAAGCATGCGCTAGCAGATAAAAACGCGCTGTCGTCGTGGCAAGACGCCGTGGCGGCCGTTTGAAAGAACTTTGAAAACAGTATATTATCGGGATTTCTTGTTGTGCTGCCGCAGAAAGTTGATACTGCGTAATATTTTAGCGGTGTAAGGCAAATACAGCATAATTATGGCTCTCTGAACTGTCCACTATAAACGGTGCTTGATAGCATAACACACGAATCTGTCCGTTAGTTGCTAGTTGATGTACGTTCACAATTAATTTTAGGCAAAAAAAAAACAATTACAATGCCTTGTATCCTCGCTTGTAACTGTGTTTTTCGTGCCTTAAAATAAATTACAGCTACGTGGCGCAATCCCGTGGCTTTTGTCTGGTTCTGTAGTCAGCTTTTTTTTTTTTTTTCATGTCAATTACATTCTTTAGCAACTTAGGCCGTCGAAAAGCTGCGCGTGCGGTGGTTTTCTTCAGCATGTCTTTCCTCTGCTTCTTCTTGAGTTCCTCGAATGAAACCTTTTAACACAGCTGAGGCCAAAGCTTTAAGCAGGAATCGCATTTTGGGGTATCGGTGAGCACTTCTTTGTCATTACTCACGAGGATTCCTGCTGACGCATTTGGACACCATGAACACACTTTCAGCTTTTCTAGAAGTTCGGCCGATTGGGTTAGAGTGTACTGGAATGGTCTAATTGGGTGATGGTATCTGGATTGCCGGGCGACTTGGCTAAGCGATGGTGGCGGTTCCCAGCAAACCATCAATATTTAGAGGATGTCCACAAATGGTCTGAATATCCAATGGTATTTGAGAATATTCAGTGGATATTGAGTGAACACTTCTATTTAAATATTAAAAGTGGATATTGTAACGGTAGGATGAGAACGACGAAGAAGACAAAGAGGAGGACGATGTTGTCAGATCTGTGAGCCAACTGGGCGCCATCTTGACCACCACCGAGTTTATTCCTCGTTTTATAAAGTAAAGTTATTCTCCCGTAACATCATTGGTGGAGGTGCGGGGTACTCACTTCACGCAAAACGGAGCTTCGTAGCGGGCGCCTAGTGGTCTCCCCCATGGCGACTGCAGTCAACAATGCCGACCCTTCCCCGACTACCGTGCCTTCTCCAACTACGTCCGTGCTTTCTCCAACTGGACCGTCAACCCTCATCTTGGAGCCCCCGAGAGATCCAGGTACCTTTTCTGGCACTGATGGCATTGACGTAGAAGCCTGGCTGAAGTCATACGAACGAGTGGGTGTACGTATGCGATGGGATCCAACGCTCATGCTGGCCAACGTGATTTTTTATCTCAGAGGTACCGCAAAGGTCTGGTACGAGACGCACGAGGAAGAACTGACTAGCTGGGAGTTATGCAAGCAAAAGCTCCGGGAGCTATTTGGCAGGCCTGTGGGAAGTCAACGCGCCGCCCAAAACGAGCTCGCACGTCGAGTTCAGACGTGCACCGAATCATACCTCACGTACATTCAGGACGTGCTCGCTTTGTGCCGCAAGGTAGACTCGCAGATGTCCGAAGCCGATAAGGTTGGCCATATTATTAAGGGCATAGCAGATGACGCCTTTCACCTTCTTGTGTTCAAGAATTCATCTACGGTCCACGACATTATTTCTGAATGCCGGCGCTTTGAAGAAGCGAAGAGCCGCCGTGTTCTCCACCAGTTTGCCCGGCTTCCAAACACGGCTGCAACATCCACATGCGAAGACCCTCGCCTGCCTTCTACGGAAAGTCCCGGTGACGTTGTCCGTATTGTCCGTCGGGAAATAGAAGCCGCAGCTCCACTCGTGTCAGCCTCCCCCAACTCCGAAAGCTATCACGCCACCGTCTCTCTCATACAGACCGTCGTGAGGCAAGAACTGGCCAACGCCGGCTTAAACGTCTGCTCCATTCATCGTCCAGACTACGCCACACCAAATCCACCCGTGACTGTTCCGCCCAACCGACGTTTTTCTGCCAGCCCACATTATCGCGACCCGGCGGTATGGCGCACCCCAGACGACCGGCCGATATGCTTCAATTGCGGTCGTATAGGCCACATTTCGCGTCACTGCCGTGCTTGGTCCAGCTCTGCTCCGTGGCCTCACCCTCCGCCCCATCGCCCACCTGTCTGGAATTCACGCTCATCACCGAAAACAGAGCCGCTAACGCCTGAGAATTCCTCGCGCCCCCGATCCAGCCGCTCCCCTTCGCCACAACGCCGTTTCTCCCGCTCGCCCCCATCTCGCCGATCGCCGTCCCCAAGCTCGTTCCGGCGTTCACCTCCGGAAAACTGACGGGAGCAGCTCTTGGAGGTGATGCTGCAATACCGACCCGATCCCAAAATCCTCTACTGACCTTGCCCGCACATCAGAACCTTATCAATGTTGACGTCGACGGTGTACCTACTACAGCCCTCATTGACACTGGCGCACACGTGTCTATCATGAACGCTGACCTTAGAGCACGGCTGAAGAAAGTCCTTACTCCTGGCCCAACTCCTGTGGTCCGAACGGCCGATGGTGGAAAAGTCGCCGTAATTGGTGTGTGCTCAGCTCGCGTCAGCGTCGCCGGACACCACACATCAGTTCTGTTTTATGTTTTAGAACACTGCCCTAATGACATAATTTTGGGCCAAGACTTTTTGTCTGAACATTCGGCCTTGATAGACTGCTCTGCCGGTATAGTGCAACTCGCTCTACCTAATGTTGTTGATCCTCCAAGTTGCCCTCCAAGTCGGCTTTGTTCTACAGAACACCTGCGTCTCCCTCAACGAACAGTAGCTTACATAGGCGTCTCCCCTGTTCCACCTGTCCCAGACGGTGTTTATATTGTGTCCCCAATGTTGACGTCCTGCTTTCGCACAACGTTGCGTTTCCTCACACCGTCATCACTATTACGGCCAATGCATCCTGCCTACCCTTAGTGAATTTTTCACTATGTACACAAGTCCTCCCTCGTGGTATATCTCTAGCCGAGATCGTGCCGGCGGCAGAGTGCCATATTTGCACTCTAAGTTATGACAGCATCCCGAGTGCCGAAAAAACTTCGTCTACTCCTCCATCAGACCAAAGTGTGTTAACCAAGATGATTGCCCCCGACTTGCCGAAAGAACAAGCTAACGACCTGCGTTCCCTGCTTGCATCTTTTTGGGACATCTTCGACCTTGGCGACCGCCCACTCGGCCAGACGTCCGTTGTTAAGCACCGGATTGATACAGGCGATACGAGTCCCATCCATCGGAGACCCTACCGTGTTTCCCATGCAGAGCGGCGCATCATCCAACAGGAGGTCGACAAAATGCTTTCTCGGAATATCATCGAGCCTTCATGCAGTCCCTGGGCGTCCCCTGTTGTACTTGTAAAGAAGAAGGACAACAGCTGGAGATTTTGCGTTGATTATCGCCATTTAAACAAAATAACGAAGAAGGACGTCTACCCTTTACCACGCATAGACGATGCCCTGGATTGCCTTCACGGCGCAAAATATTTTTCCTCCATTGACCTCCGCTCTGGGTACTGGCAGATTGCCGTTGATGACATGGACCGTGAGAAGACGGCGTTTATCACTCCCGACGGCCTTTACGAGTTTAAAGTGATGCCATTCGGTTTATGTAATGCGCCCGCCACATTCGAACGTATGATGGACGCTCTGTTGCACGGCTTCAAGTGGTCCATCTGCCTGTGCTACCTGGACGACGTTATCGTTTTTTCGCCTTCTTTTGCGACGCACCTTGAAAGGCTATCGAAAATCTTATCTGTCTTTCGTAAGGCGGGCCTGCAACTCAATTCGGCAAAGTGCCACTTCGGCCGTCGTGAAATTTCTGTCCTCGGACACCTCGTTGATTCCGTGGGGGTTCGCCCTGATCAAGATAAAATACGCGCAGTAAGAGATTTCCCTGTACCAACCTGTACCAAAGACGTTCGCAGTTTCGTTGGCCT